GTGCAGTCAGCGTTTTCTCCATACCCCTGAAGCCCAAGCTACGCTTTGGTAGTATTTGTCTGTCCCATAAATGTTTCTTGCTACACTTCATCCATGGCTGAATTTCAGGGACAGAGTAAGTCGTGTCTATATATAGCTGATGAAACACTTCGGGATCTCCTGACAATGACAGTTGCTACTATGAAGCCAGCACTGCATTTTTTTCAGCTCTTTCTTAATTTTTATTTCCAATAAAAATTTGTAATATGAAATAATATACTTTTTAAAAAGTAATTAGCTACTGTATAGTTAATATCACCATGTATGAGTTGCGTGAAGAATTTTCAGAGTCAAAGTTTGTGCCTCTTGGTGCATGAATGTGGGAAGGCTAATATGCTTAGTGCCCACAGTGCTTTTCCTTAACTCAGACAAAGAAATTTGGTTCCTAGATCTATGCTTCTCTTCTCTGCTCTCTTTCTGTTTTCTCTGTATGTGTTCATTTCAGGAATATGAAGCAAGTTTAAAGTTTATTCATACTGCCCTTACCTAATGAATTAATTGCCTTTTTTATTTTTATGAACATACAATATAGTGTGTTTCTTAAATTGAAGAAGGCAGGTTATATTTATTGCATTAAAAAAAAGGCGATGTCTCTTGAAATCCAATAAATGATAAATGATAAATACATTTTTTAACACATCTCATCTTTCTCCTTAGCTTTGTTCAGGAAATATATGCATAATTTTTAACAGAATCCAACATTTTGAACCAATTTAAATTATCATAATCTTATTTAAATAATTCATATTCTTGTTGGTTAAGCTTTAAACTAGTGGATATTTGCTACAAGCAGAAATACACTTTATGTACAAGTGACAGTTATGACATGCTGTGAAAGTTAAAGGGCTTTTTGATCTCTTTTTTAAGATCCTGTTAACAGTTTACACAAGAGAATAATTAGTTTGAATTTATTTTCTATTACCTTTCATTGACTTCTTTATTGAGAAACCATTCTATTGTTCTTTTTCACAAAGAAACAGACAAACAAAAAGACTATGATTACTTAAAGACTCAATGACTGACTGAGCTCTCATGAGGTTCTTTATCTTTCTGTGGCCTTTCTGAGACAGTTTTGGCAGATATGAACTATTGCATTCCTATACAGAAGTGTTAAAACTGAAAACTAATGGTGATTATTTCTACATCAGTTGATTGTTTCATGGGCAATTATTTAAGTAGAGAAATCTGGCTTATTTCTTAGTCTATATCTCACTAAGTTCACATAGAGGAATGATCTGGTGAAATGTGGTGGTCAGCAATTTTGTTTTATTAACAAGTTGTGGTTTTGTTCTCATTCTAAGATTTTGTGAGAAGGAAGAATAAGAAGTGTGTTGAAAGTCTGAGAAAAAATGCAGAGTGAGTCCTTGAGAGAATGGTATGATGGCTTTTGACAAGTAAATGAATGTTAAATAAAAAATGTGTGAAACACTTTCCATTTCATTAAAACGATTGACAAAGATTGACTTTCTTTAGTTAGAAAAGCCCCCTGATTCTCAAATAGCTTAGTGCAAAGCACGCCGGGGAGGCATTTGTGTGACCTCACAGACCTGCTGCTCCTGTTAGGAAAGCCTGTTTGGTACTCCTCATACATGGGAAGTGATATCTGGTTGCCACAGTATTCTCCTGAGTTAAAGGCATCATTCTTCTGGTTAGGCCCTTGCTAACATTTATATTAGCATGAACTACAACTGCACACCTTTTGCCAAATAAAAGATAAAAATAGTTGACAATTCAGCTTTGCTATCTCCATTTCTTGTCTCCCTGTGCAACCTTATTTCTTCTAATTCATTTGGCAATCATGAATATTCTTTTTGTCTTGCCACATTGTAAACAAACTCTGTCATTTCTACCTCAACTGTACTTGCTGACTCTCCAGTGTCTTGCCATGTTAACTTAAAACTACCTGTCCATGTAGTTCATTGTGTTTCTTTCTTTTTCTCTATTTCTGACTTTTGTTCTTTCTTTCCTGCTCAGGCTGCTAATCTCTGTTTTGATTTTATTTCCTTTCTTCTTAGGCACACATAGTTTGTAGCAGTGCAACTCTGCCAGCTTTAGTGGAGATAGTTCTAACCTACCTCTGATGTGGAAATAAGCTGGTTGAAGCAAACTGCTTTATTCATACTACTGTGCTAGGCACAACTTTGCTTTTCTCTTGTTGAGCTGAAAGAGGCATCTCCCTTTCCACTTCAAGTTTGGCGTCAGAGTTCCATTTTGGCTTTTCTTCCACTACGGACCTCCATTCATATGCTTCTCATTACCATCTGCACAGCTAGTTTATAAAATTAAATTAAAGTAGTAAACAAAATACCAGATACTCCTCCTAAAGCTCCATCTATAAATATCTCTTCTGCCTACTCATGCTCTCTGATTAAGAGGCAGTAAGCAGTTATTCAGAGAACCTAAAACATGTCAGATTCCATCAAGATAGGCAGGTGGTTTTGGTTTGGGTTTTTTTTTTAATGGGGCTATTCCATTTAGTTTTCTGTTTTATAGGCAAAAAGCCCAACTTTCTGAAAATGCACACTGAAAAAGTTGAAGTCCCCTATATTTTTGATCCAAAATGGACTAATATTACCTAGCCAAAGTGGATCTTGAAATACTTACTTTTTTTAATCTCTCAGACTAGCTAGTGGGACTATGGTTCTAGCTTGGAACAATTTGGTTCTAGTTTGCTTGGAACAATTAAACATTTTTGTTTCATTTTCTTTGTTATCAAAGTACTGTTTACATATGTACCAAGTAAACATGAAAAAATGAACAGTACCTTTGCAGCAGTGGCTAGGTATGCTTTGAGTAAATCCAGTTATTTTATGAAAAAACTTGGCAAACTTCTTTTAGAATTCTGGAAAATTTGGCTAGACTTACTTTTGATTCCTAGAAATCTAGGCATGAGCCTGACTCTAGTCCTAATCCACAGTGTGATTGGATATTCTTTGTCACCATCCCACCTCAGTTTTTATTTCATGACACCCGCATCCTGGCCTGTGTTAGAGGGTAAAGGCCAACATATAAAACATGGATTTTAGCTAATACTTCCCTACATGAAGCCGTCAGTACCTGTAAGGCTCACCTGTACTGCACAGTGGGGAAGGGTGCAGTACCGTGTGACTTCATCCACATAGATCCCCAGACAAGGCAGTGCTGAGGAAAGGCACAAAGCTGGTTGCAGTGGCTCACCTCTAATGAGGGAGTGCATGAAAGGTCACAGGTTTCATTAGTGCAGTAGAGCTCTTTGCATGGGGGACAGCTCTGAGTCAGAGCATTACAGATTTATGTGTATACTTCTAGGGCTTCTCTGACTTCTGCATTTCCTTTAGAAATTCTTCTGTGCTTTGTATGGTGAAAAAGAAGAAATGGTTTTACTGACTTCAAAGGCTTAAATTATCATTTAGGTGATTGCAATTGGACTATTTCAAACCACAAGTGACTACTGAGCAATAAAAATAAACCACACAAATTACACCAGCATACACTTAATGTGTATCTATGTGAACTAATTTGTTTTGTAGTTGCAATTTGATATTGTCTGAGAGTATCCTAAGAGAATGCTCATCTGCACTTGAACAAAAAAGTCTAAGCAGCATTCACCAACATTAGTTCATTATATAGATGGAAGTGTAGCAACTTTGAGAATGTTTGCACTGAGCAGGCAAAAAGCATGTGGTTCTGACTTCACTACTTAGATTTGGAACTTCATTTTTGGACTGTTTGTCTTACAGTATGTGCATCAGTCTTCAAAAGTTCAGCTTGCTTTTATTGCATGAAGTGTTTCAATCCTTTTCTGAATTCCAATTTGCAACCTTAGTGCTATATTTATGAAGTTTTTTTTTGAGCTAGTGAATAGATATTTTCTGTGCATGTATGCATGTTCTTCTATATTGCATTGTTCTTCTATATTCTTATGGGCTAGAAGATGGCAGAAAGCAGAGCTTCAGTTAGCAACATGAAATGGAGGACATAAGCTGTAAATTATTCTGGTTATTCATCTACATTGTCTTAGAGACCTACAGTTGTCTTTACTGAACATTTCCCCCTTGTATATGAGTATTTATGGCTTTTAAAAGCTCAGCTTTGGTGAGCATTTTCTTTTCCTAAGTGAGGATGGAATTGTATCTTGCGTGGCCACTGCTAGCGAGGATGACCTTGGCTGATGATAGGTGCAGGTATTAATGACAAGCTACATGAAGAACATAGTAAACTTGCCAATTCCCAGAAGAAACCCTGTTACTGGGACAACTGAAATGATATGGCACAGGAGATATGAGACAAGCTTGCCAGGGTGCTTGATCTCAGTGCTATCCTTTTGGATTTTGCTCTATGGAAAGCACGGGTAAATGCTTCCTGTCACACGTATGTGAAGTTACTGGTTCTAGGGGCCTTTGTATGTGCTTCTTGGTGCCTGCTTTTGGATTTACTGAGACTGTTTCCTAGACAAAAATATATGCATTGCTTTTTAAAGTTGTGCTTCCATGCTTTCTGGTTAACTCCAGACATGATCTCCAATGGAAATTGTTTCATCTCTTGAGTGTCCTTGAGTGTGCTGGCTCGTGTGATCCTTAATCCGAAAGTGTGAAGTGGCTCAAGGACAGATACCGACTTCAGACTAATGATAAACTATGCCGAACTACATTAGCAAATCACAGACGGGTCTTGAGAAGTAGAAATACATGTCAGTAGGAGGGGAAAAAAAAGACATGTCTGTGTCAAATCGTAAGGCACGACAGACAAGCAGACGAGCTCCCGCAGCGCTGGCGGGAGACGAGCCCCCTGCCCATCCTTGCTCTCCCGCAGCCCATCCCAGGCTGCCCCGTGCGGGATCAGCGCCCACCGCCTCCCGCTGCCCGCAGCGGGGCTGGGACCGGGGCCGCCGCCCGGAGCGCCACGTGACAGCCCGGCGGGGATAATAAGCCGCAGCAATGAGCCGCCCCGGGCTTCTCCGAGGGGTCAGCCGCAGGGACCGACAGCAGCAGCCACAGAGGGAGAGAGAGTGAAGGAGGGCAAGGGAGAGAGGGAAGCAAGGTCACCACACGTCAGCACCTACCTGACAGTTTCAGCCTCTGCTCTCAGCAAAATTCATCCATATTCACTCCCTGTCACCTTGGAAAAAGGAAAAAAAAAAAAAGAAAGAAAGAAAAGAAAACAGACACTGCTATCTACAACCCATCAGCAAGTAAACTCAAATTGTAGTAGAAGCCTCAGCAGCTGAAGCTGATCCCCCGGTAGCATGAACAGCATGAACCAGATAGAAACAAACATGCAGTACACCTATAACTATGAAGAAGATGAGTACATGACCCAAGAAGAAGAATGGGACAGGGACCTGCTCCTGGACCCAGCATGGGAGAAACAGCAAAGGAAGGTCTGAAAATAATGTGTTTGTCTGTGTAGTTCTGTATGGAATGATGTCCTCTCTTATTTCCATGCTGTATCTGGAATTGTCAGGGCCATACAGCAAGGGGTTCTAATAAAACATATTTTACATTGTATAAAACATGTATATAATGTATAGTTGCTATGCCATATTTTGAAGATAAAGCATTTGCTGTTTTGATTCTTAGGTGAAACCTATGTCAGATGAAAATGATTTATGAGTCAGGGGTCTTTTTATATTGCACTGGAAATATCCTGTCAGTATCGCTAGATTTATGTATTAATGTTTCAGTAATTTTTAACTTCACTTCCTAGGTCCTCCTTTCAGAAAGCAGACTCTGAATTGATGTGTGCACCTGGTGGATTTTGAAAAAGAGTAAATTGCAATTATAAACAGGGAGATGAATGAGATGGTTCAAAATTGGTGTGCAACAGAACTTTGCAATATTTCTGAGAGTAGACTGAGAAATCACTTTTGAAGTTGCGATCTTGCAAGTCAGCTCTTAGTAGAATATACTCTTCATTCCAACTGAATGATCTGACAAGGAAAGTATTGCCTAGAAATACATCCAGGCTATATTTGGAAAACTGTATTTCACGATTAGGTTCCCACATGCCAGTTCACTGTCTGGGAAAAAACCAGGTCTGTAAATATATTGGAATATACTGTTGTGTAGGAAACGCTTCTTGCCTTTTAGGTGTAAGAAAGCTATTGAGCCACCAAGTACTGCCCATGCTCTTTTTCTGAACATAGGCAGAAATTATGGTCCCACATCAGTCTTGTCAGTGGTTTGATACTTTAGTAATATTTGCACTTCTAATTTCAGAACACTAAGTTTTAAACAGCACATAGAAAACAGAGATGAAATATTGTAGAAGATTTGTTACTTTCTAATTTGAAAGGTGATGCTGAAGTCACAGCTGACAGATCTGGGATTAAAAGGTTATCTGCTGGTTACAAGAATGGAAAAAAAAGGGAGAGACAGAAAGACAGTGCTCTGGACAATAAAATTGAATATGTATTCTGCATAGCTGAGCAGCTCACTTCAAAACCTAAGTAGAAGGTGCCAGTTAAGATCTTATGAGAGAGTCTGGCCCACTGTTGCAGTCACAGCTTCTGTAAAAGCTATACTACAAATGTATAGCTATAAAAGTAAGGGCTGTTAAAATTGTTGGGGCCAGGGGGTTTGCTTTTGCATTAAAGTTTGTAGAGCTGGTATTTTCTGCTCAAATTTAGCTTGAAGTCTCCCTCCTTCTGTGAGTTTTAGCTGGTTTTATTAATTTTCCTACATTCACACCTGTTCGGATCCTGCTGTATGAATATAGTGGGAGAAGTTCTCTGAGTTGAAGTTCACTTTTCTTGATCTACCAGCTGCTGCAACTCCTAACCAATAAGTTGTACTCATCAACACTGACATTAGTTTTAATTTGACACTCTTCAGATGGTCAACTATGTTTTTCTGTTTTATAAGGAGAATGGAAATTATCTTAGTGCTTAAGTGCTTTAGTGATTTGAAACTGTGCAGCTGTAAGAGGTTGTGGCTACATCTGATTAGGATTTAATTGTCCAGTATTTCAGAGAATGCTGTTTTCAAAAAAATTGGACAGATTACTAGATAGTCAGCACTCTAATGAAGTTTTCCTTCAATGCAGACAAACGATCAAAAGTAAAGAGGACTTGGATTAGGAAGACGTTTTTATGTTTACAGTAAGTCTCTTGACTTTTACAGAAAATCAGGGAGTAGCTGTACTACATTGAAAATTTTATGTTTCCATTCTCTGAACAGACAGCACTTCAGCAGAAAGTCAGATTTCAACATTGATAAATTAAAGCAGACTCTGCTTTACTTCCAACTTTATGTTGCCAGTTCCCTGGGTTTAGTTTTAATATTAACATGATAACATATGTAAATAAAATTTAGGAGTGGGGATCCTTACTCCTTGTCTTGGAAAGGAGTCTAAATTATTATTACATGAAAAGTACTTGCATGATAAAGGGTTGGTTAAACCTTGTAAAATTTTAAGGCTTCTATCTTTCCTAATTCATGCTAAGACAGTGGCAGAAAGCGCTTTCTTAATTCCTTATTTATTAGGAGAAGGTTGCAGGTACATGGGCACAGATCTTTGTTCTAACTGGTAATATAATATTGAAAAATGATCTCAGTGGAGCCCTGGCAGTTGGCAGCATATATTTTCTATTAGACAGTCTTGGATCAAACCAAAAATAAATGCCATTGTTTCTATTGTGGGCTGCCCTCTCCAGACTTGCCATTTCAGTGATATGCCTGGTATGAAATCTGTCAACAGATGCTGGTAACACATGATGACGTCCATAGGATTACAATGGATGTGACGCCTAATTATAACCATGGTTCGTGGAGTATTATGGTCTGCTGTAATCCAGGCTCCTTGGTGGTCACAGATGCCCAAAAAATATGAAGTACACTATAGGAAAGAAAGATGAGTTGTGGTTTAACTCTGTCTGAATGTGAGCAATAATTCAAATGCTTTAATTGAGGTAGCATTTAGCCTATGTCAACTCAGGAAATCAGGAAAATACAACAATTCAACCATTTGCTGCAATAGACACTATTGGCAAAAACTTAAACAGGATTGGGCATTTCCAGCAACAACTTTAAAGAAAGACTAAATAACAAAAAAAAAAAAAATAAATTGTATTTTGAATGGACATCCTGTAGATGTCCATTAGTAGAAATGGACAGTAGATGTCCAATAGTAGAACAGACACAGTAGATGTCCAGTAGTAGAAACTAATTAAAGAATTATGGCCTTGTTGTCTTTTGAACCTGTAGATGGGTACCATGAGATTGGAAACTTCTACAGTCTGCTCCTTGACCCAGTACACTTCCACTGCCCACGTGCGCCTAAGCAGTGGCTGAAAGATCTATGGGGGTGGCCCCTTGTTTCTTCAGTACTACACAGAAATAAAAAAATATTGGAAGTACTTTTGGAAAAGTCTGTCCAGAGAGGGTGGGATTTTCTTCTTCATTCTGCCCCGTAACCCTAGACAAGGTCAAGTCACCTCGTTTTTCCCACTGGTAGAAAGAGGCCAGCAGTGATAATTGTAAGAACTGGTAGAAGTGGTTTGTTCTATGGTCTGTCAGACTAGAGATCACTTGTCTTTCAGCCCCTACCCTGCTGGACTGGAGTGTGAACAAAAGTCATACTAGCTTATAGTGGAAGACTTAAAACATGATTTCTCTTTTCTCCATAATAAATATATTTCTCCATAATAAATATGTTTCTCCATAATAAATGTATTTCTTATATTTCTTAAGCTTCCAAAAAAAGGCTCAACAAATTCCACAGAGCTTTTGGTTTTCACTACCTATATCTCTGTATAACTAAAGGGGACATAGGGAAATGCAGTATCCCTTAGCTTAGGAAACCAAGCACAGCAGTGCTACTCAAAATGTGCACATACTGTATTTTTGCAATGTTTGATCTACCAACACTGCTTAGTCAGCCAGGTGTTTAACAGCACTTTCTTGTTTGTAACTTTTGCTATAAATAATTATAGGAGTAAGTGTGCTTTTTTAAACTTTGACATGAAATGTGTTTTGTTGGCTTTCTAGGGAAGACTGTGAAACAATTGTGATCCCTTCTTCAGGATAGTTATATTGTAACACACTAAATTGGCTTCACATATTTAATATGTGCCTTCTGCAGTCATTCAAATGTGTCTGACACTATTGAATCAACAAATGTAAAGAAAGAACTGGGAACATGTTCCTTGCCTTACTGATATTATTATATGTGGATGATCTTATTCTAGCTTGCTGTATGGCCCTGGTACCACCGTTTTGTTAATGCAGAAGGGTTTTAATGTAGGTGTCAATGTAATTTCTGACAATTTTGATGGTTTTTTACACTGGTATAGAATAAAGAAGAAGATTTAGAATATTTATTTACCTTGATATTGCCCTCTTCGTGAAAACAAATCTTGATAACGCTGAACCTTGTGCATGAGTGAGGACTTCAGAAAAGATTCTCAAGGAAAGAAGCTGTATCTTTCCAGTCTTCAGAAGCACATATCAGATTACATTTTCAGTGTGACCTATAAGGATTTATCTGCATTACCTCCTTTGGCTGGTAATACAACTCCTGTTGTCCTTGCAAGTTAAAAAAAAATGCTTTTGGAAGACACATGTATGGCAAATTATTTGGAAGAAGCTATCAGGACTGTGAATGATGGGCAACATCCTTATTGTTGTAGTCTTGCTGCAACTTCATTAAGTTCAGCAGATTTGAGAGGTTCCTTGCAGCCTGAAAGAGAAATTGACCTTGTGTTCAGTCTGACTTCAGTGTCTATTTATAGAGTTAGACTCAGTGTCCCGGATTTACTCTGAAGTTTGTCTTGCCTTCTTGTGGATGGAATCTAAATTGATTTCTTATCAGAAACCTCTTCCTGTAAGAATTCTACTGGTGTGTGAGAAGGCAGATATAGTGGAAGGAAACAGCTTTGTTCTTCAATGGAGGAGAGAAATAACAGAGCCTCAATGAATGAAAAAGAAATGTAAGGCAGAAAGAGGTTGACAGGAGAGGCTGGATGCCACCAGCAGAATTCAGTCCTGTAAACCACTTCTCACTTCTCCAGATTGAAATAATTGTTGTACATACTATAACAATATCTGCAATGTGTAGAGGGAATTCCAGCCTAGGTCTTCCTCTTTTACTGAGACTATCCGGAAATAAAATTAGCTTGATTTTTTTCTTTTTTAAACCATGCAAAATTCTATCCTTTAATAATGAGGCTTGACATTAGGCTCCATTGCACACATCCACCGCTAGAGGGTTTTTAATGAGGTGACACTTTTTACCCACTTGGAATACCAGTGGGATTGTTGAGAAGGCACACGGATTCTCCTGTGTGAGTGAGCAGCGTGAACAGGGTCTGGATGTGAATGCAGAAGGTGTGGGGGAAGGAAAAGGTACACTCCTTTCTAAGAGAGTATGAACCTTCAGATT